CCGTGAGAGCGTGGTGGAGTTTCTGGTGTTATACATAGATGATATACTTCTAGTCAGAAACAATAAGAAATAATTGTAAGACATAAAAGGTATGGTTTTCCAAGCAGTTTGGTATGAAGAATTTGGGTGAGACATGACACATTCTTAGTATTAGGCCCGTTTGAGACCGTAAGGAAAGAATGTTATGCTTATCCCAATCGTAAGGAGAGAATGTTGTGTTTATCCCAATCTTCATACATAGACATTGAATTGGCGAGGTTCGTCATGCAAGACTCAAAGAAGGGGTTCTTACCTTCTCGATATGGAGTACCTTTCTCTAAGAGGATGTCTCTCAGACACACCCTGAGAACAATGAAAAAAAAAAGATATCTCACACCAAGAGATAGAGGACATGAAGGTAATTCTTTATGCTTCGGCAGTAGAAAGCCTCATGTATGCAATGTTGTGCACGAGGCCAGATATTAGTTACTATATTGACATAATAGCTAGATATCAAAGTAAACAGAGTCTGGGAAATTGGTCTGCACTTAAGAATATACTCAAGTACATGAAAATGACTAAAGAGTACATGTTAGTTTACCATGCAGACAGCTTGTTACTGTTGGGTTACACTGATTCTGACTTCCAGCCAGACTGGGATGAAAGTAAATCTACCTCAACTTATGTGTTTCTTCTGGGAGGTGGAGCCATTTCATGGAGGAGTGTCAAGCAGAAATGTGTGGCATGCTGCACCATGGAAGTTGAATACATGGCAGCTTCGAAAGTCGCGAATGAGGCATTTTAGCTTATAAACTTCTTGGTGGACTTAGAGGTGATTCCTACTTTGCCACAGGTTGTCATAGTTTATTTTGACAACAGTGGTGCAGTAGAAAACTCAAGGGAACCATGATCTCACAAGGCGAGAAAACACATAAATCACAAATACCACATAATAGGAGAAATCATAGGGAGAGAAGACGTCGAGGTTTCCCAGATTGCATCCGAGGACAACCTAGATGTTTCTTTCACGAAGAGTCTGCCCGGGAAGGTCTTCGCTTGGCACGTGAAAGAAATGAGAGTCAGATGTGTGGCACCAGGATCGACATAGGTCTTTTAGAATAAGTATTGAAAGATGTATACTAGTAGATGCGGGAGCTTTTAAGTATAAGTGAGAGACTGTTAATGTATATGTTGAAAGATTTGCTTTGGATTATTTACACTCTTTATTTCTATTGAATTAGAATTATGTTTGATTCAACAAGTTTTATGTTGCACTTAGATAAATGGTTTATCACGGATGGACAAAAGATCATTTATCAGTAACTTGTGAAACATAAAGAATTGGTTTAGAACATAGGTGAAAATTGAACAAGCCATCGGAATGATTGCGGTGCAGTTGGTAAATGAACTAGGCCTCGATTAACTATTGTGTTTTCTTAACCCGTAAGATATAAAAAGACACATGTATGTAGTAGTTACTATTCTAATTTATCCCGATGAGGTTGATTCTGTCTGGATCAATAACCGTTCAGTTGGGTAGTAATGTTGCATGCATGGTGTGCTGTTAAAATATATAGGGCATCACGTGCTTCAGTTTGATGATGTCCCCAAAGTGAACTCAAAAAATATTATTATGTTAAACCATACAGGTCATTTAAGCTCTGACATAATAGTAATGATTTGAGTGGTGCTAGCTTCGACACAAGATATTAATTTGATTGTTTATAATTAAACTAATTGATTGACATTATATCTTAAACATGCGAAAGTAATTCCAGTAATAATAATTAGAGATCAAATCTTAATTTGGGAGTTACAATAATACTACTTTAGTGAAATGATTGTATTACTTATATATGAGCTAAGTGAGCCCAATTTAACACCTAATTAGGGTTCTATTGTAGCCTATAAATACACCTCCTCTCGTACTGTTTGGAAGGCACAACATACACAAGAGTCCTAGTACTTTATGAGAGATCTAGATTTCTTTTCTCACCAAAGGAGTTCGAGAGGCATTAGGAATACAATAAAAGGTCCTTTGGTAGTCAAGTACCCAAGCATCATCCGCCCGAGCACCTGATCACCATCGTCCAACTGCGTCTAGTCGAGACAACATGCACTAGCTTGCACGCATACCTGCGACGTGCACGGCCACCCCGTACGACTTGTGACCGAGCACACCAGCCACAAGCCCTAAACAACTGAGCTCATCCGACCTGCACGATCTCCTGGTGACTCCGAGCCTCCAAAGAGACGATATTTCCAGTGAGTGGAATCAACAGATCTCCATCAATGGGAATCTTAAGTGTCTCAGAGTCTATGATTTTTATGCCGTAAATTTTCTACGTTAAACTTTAAATCGCTCTGCATATGTTCATTCGTAGATTAATTCGCGACTTGTACAATAAGATGAACCTTACAGATCCCAATAGACCAGTGGTGGTGGCATTAATCGTTGACTGTAGGACGCCGATGTTGATTGGTGATCAACAAAATCTGTCACCACCGTCAATTAAGAACTAACAGTTTGTTCATACAAGATGCATATTTAATTGATATAAAAACATGCAATTTGTATTATAAATATACATAATGTATAACATAAATGTGCAACCTTGAAACTGATGGTGTCGCTGTTATCATTAATGATCGACAACTAATGTCTGTCAACGTCTGCCAACCACTTTATCAACGTTGGTCGATGTCATCGGTTGTTAGTCGATGTCGAGTAACATCGGTTACCACCAGCCAAAGATCGTCCGTCAACGCCAATCAATTGTTTTGTTATTATATAATTAATTATAATATGGTGATTATTATCTTTTGTTATATAATTAATATAAATATCAATTAATTAATATGAGTATTGATCTTACACAAATTAGTGGTTAGAATTAAATCTCACATTCTCATTGAAAATGCCTCATTGGATACATACACACACACACACACATATCTATATATATATATATATGTATATATATATATATATGTATATATATATATATAATCTCACAACAATACACTACAAGAAAATAGAGTTGTAGTGAAGAATTTTTTTTTCACTATAACTACAATTGTTGTCGCTATATCTACTGTCAGTATATCTACAATTGTTGTCACTATATCTACAATTATTGTCACTATATCTACTATTTTCGTAGATATAGTGACAACAACGGTAGATATAGTGACCGTAGATATAGTGACAACATAGTGACAAAAAAACTCTTCACTAGAACTCTATTTTCTTGTAGTGATAATACCTTCTTTTAGGGTTGCATAATCATTGTGATATAGCATCATAAAAATTTGAAAGTTCACTCGATAGACAACAAGCGCAAGTCGATTTATATAGAACTTGAGTGGTTAATTAAAAGCTCGGTTCGTTCATTCTAAGGACACGAGAGTTCTGGATCGACCTGTACAAGTTTATGTACATGATGGAATATACGCGAGCTAATGATCAGGGTGCTCGGATGACCTTACTATACCCGAGTTTGAGGAGGACAACAAAGAGTTTGGAGAATTGATCTAAACGATTACTTAAGACATGATTGAAACGAAATACACCTTTCCTACATGCACAAGAAGATTGAGTGGATCTTGCCTAGAGTTGGAAGGATCATGTTAACCTAGATAACTTCGTCAATGTATAGTCTGTGATTATATCTAGTTCATTACCAAGATGAAAAAAAATCTAAACATGTGATCATTACGCTGTGTGCAATTACAAAATTCTAGAGTTTGAAAACGAACTTGAGCCTCGGAGTGTGCTACGTCACTTTTGTCATGAATCAGGTTGAACCGCCTATGTCGTGAACTTCCTCCGTCTTTGAGCTTAATGACCTACAATACGCTGGGATGGGGTCCCGGTGAAAAAGCTCTGACGCTCAAGTCAGAACTTGCTCAAATAACTGTATACAAGAATATATAATTTAAGGAGTAGAATGACCCTTAAATATGGCAGTTATCTTGGTAACCAAAAGAGTTCTTGTTAGGAAAGAGATATAAGTAAATCACACTTCCTAACTCACCACGTCAATTTCTAGGCAAGTGTCATTGAGCAAGTGATTCTTTCCTTTGATTCTTTCCTTTGATTATTTCTCTCTTATTGTTCAACCCTCAAGTCCTTAGCTCGTAACCTCGACCATATGACTTACATGTTGTGGCTTACCCCAGGTCGAACCTGACCTAAGGTCGTACGACCTCGATACCTTGAGGTCGACTGTGTTGTCGAGCTCCTAGATTGGTACCTTCAGGTTGTCTTCTCTAGGTCGGCTACCTTGATCTAGTGTACGAGCTCCTTGACTGGGTTGTTCACTTCTCACCATACTAGAGCTCTCCTAAACCGACTGCTTGCTCAATTCGATCAGCCGAGCTATTCTGAGCGCCACATCAAAGTGTTCACGTCTACTTACTCTTTACAAGTTCTTGAAGTTGGCAATTTGGTTTAAGATGCGTAGAACAAATCGATTTGTGTCGCATATTCTTTAAAAAAAAAAAATTGTATAATCTATGAAAAAATATTATATTACAAACATAACATAAATAAAAGTATGCATATGTATTTTTATTCCAACAATATCACATCAAGCCACGCCTAAAGGTTAATTTGTTGCACAATAATTTTCTGCCCCCACCAAAAAGCTTGTCGAAAGAAACCAACCACAACTACACTTCTCTTTGATTTTCCTCTCCACAATTTTTCTTTTTTATTAATGATCTCTTCAAGTTCAAGATTTCTATCAAAAAGTCATTTCGATTTCTTCGTAAATATTCATAATTTTCGAAAACATATTAAACCAAACTCGCATGCAAAGAAAGTCCAGCTTCAAATTTCAACAACCACATTTTCACTCTTCTCCAAATTTCTTCATAAATTTCTCAGTTGACGGTTTTAATTGCCCCTTTCAATAGTATTTAACGACCCCATCTCTTCCTCTTTATAGTCCCTTCATTTTCCAAACAAATTCAAACATACAACAACAAAACACAAACAAAGAAAAAAAGAAACGAAAATGGCGATCGAGATTTTCCCCGACAGCCCCAGCCTCGTCATGAGCCCCCGCATCTCATTTTCTCACGATCTCACCCAATCCGACGTCGTCCCCGTCGAGCAGTACGTCTCGCCGTCCTCGACCGTTGATTTCGATTTCTGCGTTTTCCGTGGAAGCTTCGATCTGGACCAGCCCTCCTCCGCCGACGAGCTCTTCTCCGGCGGCAAGATCCTCCCCATTGAGATCAAACGCCGACTCGCGCCCCCCAAGAAATTTGAAGAGCCCCTTCCGACGCATCCGCCGCCGTACGCCCCCATCCGGTCCCCGCCTCCCCCGAAATCCGGTGCCAAAATCGCGGCCGCAAGCCCGGAATCTGAGGAAAAGCAGAGGTCGTTCTGGCGGTTCAAGCGCAGCACGAGCTTAAACTGCGGCAGTGGCTACGCCCGCACCCTCTGCCCGCTTCCGCTCCTGTCGAGGAGCAACTCGACGGGGTCCGCCGCAAGCGGGAAGCGGACCTCGGCGGCCGGTAACCAGAAGCAGACTTTTGTGAGGGGAAATTCATCGAACACCTCGCAGAAGCAAGGTGGATACAACTCGAGGCCGCCATTGAAGAAGAGCCACATAGCCAATGGGGTTAAGTTCAATCCACTGATGAATGTTCCGCCGGCAAATTTCTTCGGGCTGGGGTCATTTTTCTCCGGCGGCCGTGTTTCGAGGAGGAAGAAGTAATGAGTTGATTTAAACACCCTGTGTGCTTTTATTTATTATTTATCATTATTATTGTTATTTTTATTATTAATTTATTTGGAGTCATTTTCTTTACTTGAGTAGTTTATTTTGAGACCGTGGTTAAAAAACGTATATAATTGAGGGAAATGCTACTCGTTATCGAATTATTTTGTCGTATTTTATAATCGTTAGATCAATTATCTCCTACAGTTACATAATGATCTAACAATCATAAATCTCGTAATAATTCTACTATAACGAGACTTTTGGTTTATTTGATATAACAACTCAAACGACAAGGCATATGCATAAAGGGAATGCTTTGCCAACAGAAATGTGCTCTTGTGGATTTCAGGATTTGTTGTCCTCTTATGCTCCTTTTTGTTTTTAATTTTTGACCCTTTACTTCTAAGTCATCTCCTTCAACTAATTTTTTACCATTCATTTCCAAGTCTTTTCTCTCAAACCATAGTACTACTCTTCTATTTTTAATAAGTATCATTTTGAAAAGTTGTACAGTAATTAAAAATCTTTTATTTGTCAATAATAATCCTCATTAATGACGATAGAGATTAATAAGTATTTGACCTTTTACTTCTAAGTCATCTCCTTCATCACTGATTGACTTTTTCTTAAAAGACACTTTTGTTATACTGCACCGAGCAATTGCTACGACGAGCTAATGGGCCTCGCTGTTAGGCTGAGTTGTTGCTATGACGAGCTAATTGGCCTTGTTACTAGGCTGAGTTGTTGCTAGGACGAGCTAATGGCCCGCTTCTAGGCTGAGCTGTTGCTAGGCCGAGCTGTTGCTATGACGAGCTAATGGACCTCGCTACTAGGCCGAATTGATGCTAAGACGAACTAATGGGCCTCGCTGCTAGGCCGAGCCATTGCTTGGTCGAGCTAATGGACCTCGCTGCTAGGCCGAATTGTTGCTATGACTAGGGCTGAGCACGGGTCGGTTCGGTTCGGAGATCCAGAAATCTCCAGAACCGAACCGAACTTCGGAGATTTAAAAAATCGGATCTCCGGAACCGAACCGGTCCTAACAAATCTACGGATCGAATCGAACCGAAATTCGGTTCGGTTCGGTTCGGTCCGGAGATTCGGTTCTAATGGGTCGGTTCAGTACGGATCGGATATTTCGGAGATTTCGGAGATTTTTTCAATTTTTTCATTTTTTTTTTAATAAAATCTCCTAATTGCGTGTTAGATGGTACATATCATGGATGGAAGCAAATCATAAACCTATCTTAATTTCAAAAGATATTTTATCAATTAATAGTAAGAATAGGTGGTTAAAATATTTGTTATTTTATACAAAAAAGTGATAATAATGTTTTTGTTGCAAATTATCATAATATAATTTGAAATATTTATATGATAAACGTTTATATGCCAAAAAATCTGCATGTGATAAGACGTACATGAACAATAATCAATTTATATATAGCTGTTAAATAAAAGAATATTATAGATTTTAGATTTTAGTGTCTCATAAGTAATACCAAAATAAAATAATTATTTTTTTTAGGTTTTAAATTCTATTAACATTCAACAGTGGATGATTTTTCTTAACTCAATTTGACATATAACTTATGGTAGTTTTATGGACATATACATAATGTATATAGATTTTTTTTGAATAAAATTATGTACAAAGTGTAAAAAAAATACATATGATAAAATAAGATAATATATATATATATATACATATATGTGGATTTTATGAATTGTAAATGTTTCTTGTTCGGTTCCTTGGTTCGGTACGGTTATTTTTGGTTCGGTCCAATTCGGTTCGGTTCTCGGTACGGATATTTTATGAATCTCCAGAACCGTACCGAAAAAAATTTCGGTACGGTTCGGTTCGGAGATAGTCAAACGGTCAGCGGATATTTTTCGGTTTGGGGTGAATTCGGTTCGATTTTCGGTACGGTTCGGTAATCTCCAAGACCCGTGCTCAGCCTAGCTATGACGAGCTAATGGGCCTCGCTACTAGGCCGAGTTGTTGCTAAGACGAGTTAATGGGCCTCACTGCTAGGCCGAATTGTTGCTATGACGAGCTAATGAGCCTCGCTATTGGGCCGAGTTGTTTCTAGGACGAGCTAATGGGCCTCGCTGCTAAGCCGAGCTATTGTTTGGCCGAGCTATTGATAGGACGAGCTGTTGCTAGGACGAGCTAATGGGCCTCGCTGCTAGGCCGAACTGTTTCTATGACGAGCTAATGAGCCTCGTTGCTAGGTCGAGTTGTCTTTATTCTTATTATTGCCATTACCGGTCCACGAATTAAGCTTCCTTCTGTCATGTTTGCCGAGCTATTCTCTTATGCTATATCATCTAGCCTCCTCATTATCGAACGAGCTATTGTTCTTCGAACTCAATAGACTCGTTTGATAATTACTTCGACAGTTATAATGTGTTATCTGAGCTTCTCTTGTGCTATAATGGCCGAGCTGCCATTACGATGTAATGACCGATCAGCTCGTTCAATATATTAACCGAGCTACGAGTTCAGATATATTAAACGAGCACCATAGGCTCATTTAATGATTAACAACACTAAGTATAAAGTTGTCACATTCTGCCATACCCAGATGTCTGAGCAACACCCCGAACAACACAAAGAGCTCGGGCTTGTCCGAGCAACACCCGAACAACATAAAGAGCTCGGACTTGTTCGAGCAACACCCAAGCATAATAAAAAGCTCATGCTTGTCCGAGCAACACCCGAACAACATAAAGAGCTCAGACTTGTCCGAGCAACACCCGAACACATGAAGATCTCGTAATTTTTCGAGCAACACCCAAACATCATCAAGAAATCGGGCTTGTCCGTCACACCTTTGAGCAACACTCGGACTCATAAGAGCTCAGCCTTAAGCCATCACACTCTTTGAACAACATTCGAGCTCCAAGAGCTCGACCTTAAGCCGTCACACCCTTTGAAAAGCACCCGCTCACCAGAGCTCAGCCTTAAGCCGTCACACCTTTTGAACAGTACCCGAGCTCACAAGAGATCGGCCTTAAGCCGCCACACCTTTTTAACAACACCCGAGCTCACAAGATCTCTGCCTTAAGTTTTCACACCCTCTGAACAGCACGCGAGCTCGCCAGAGCTTGGCCTTAAACCGTCACACCCTTTGAACAACACCCGAGCTCACAAGAGCTCGGCCTTAAACCGCCACACCTTTTGAACAGCACCTGAGCTCACAATAGCTCAGCTTTAAGCTATCATGCCCTTTGAACAGCACCGAGCTCACCAGAGCTCAGCCTTAAGTCGACACACCCTTTGAAAAGCACCCGAGCTCAAAAGAGTTTAGCCTTAAGTCGTCACACCCTTCGAACAACACCCGAGCTCACAAGAGCTCGACCTTAAGCCGACACACATGCTGCACTTCAGTACGAGCTATTTACACTTAGATAAAAAAGAAAAATTTGATCAAAAGTGCTTCATATACATAAATTTGCCATTCACACTTAGTTCATTCATCAGATTAAGACACAAATGTTTCAAAAACAACTCCAAATTACCCTTAATACAATAACCAAACCATAAGTGTTTAAAAAACAACCCAGAGTTACCCTTAATTCAGTAACCGAATCATAAGTGTTTCAAGAACAACTCAGAGTTACAATCAAATTAGCAATAATACTTCTTGAGATTAGCAACATTCCAAAGCCTGAAAAATACCTTATCATCTGGACCATGTTGCTCATAACCCCTCCAGCAAACACCTTATGTATAATGTATGGCTCTTCCCAATTTGGCTCCAATTTCCCCACATGCTTCAACATGTAACTCCATTACCTTATCATGTGAGATCGTCTCCGTTCTGGCCTCTGTTTCTCCTCTTGTTTCTTTTCTCTAGCTCCGATCATGTGTCAGGAAATCCGTTCATGTCTTCTCCATGTTCATATACTTGGTACACCTCTCCAACAACTTGTCATAAGACCTAGTAGGTTTCTTGGCTAGTGAGTTTCTGTAGTGACCCGTCTTCAACCCTCGCGTGAGCCCTCCTACCTTAATCTCCTCAGTTGCTATAAGAACCTCCACACATGCTCGTGTGAACCTAGCCACATACTTTCTTAGAGACTCATTCTCATGTTGTTGTATGTTCATCAGTGACAAATATATCTTTTCGTGCTTCCCTGCGCTGGAGAACTGATTGATAAACAATGAGCTAAATGCATCAAAACTGTAGACAGATCCCTCCAGCAACAAGTGGAACCAATATTGAGCAGAGCCCTTCAAGGTGGTCAAAAAGGCTCTGCAACAAACACCATCACTGTAACGATGCAAGACCGCCACGTTCTCAAAACTCCTCAA